TGTTTTGCATGGAAGTTGTCAATAAAAGTGAAATTTTTTTTAACCATTGTATCTAGAATTTGTTCCCATTGCAAACAACAAAAAAAAAGGTGGAAACTATTTTCCCACCAAATAGGTGGGAAAATAAATTCCACCAAATCAAGCCATTGGTGCACGTGTGAGGCATAAATGGAAAATATTTTCCATGGCAAAACTTTGCCATCAAACCATCGTTCTTTTTTCTACGAAACTTGTCTCTCGGACTATTGATATCAAATCTAACATGCGATGCTGAACAATTACTCTGTATCGATATGAAATCTAACATGCGATGCTGAACAATAACTCTTTCTCCGAGGCAATTAAGTTTGTCCATCAAGCTAAACAGTCATAAATGAACACACAGGAAAATAACTGCAGTACACAAAATATCAAAATTTAAATCGGGATAAGAAAGTTAACCGACAACTAAAACCATCAAAGGAACTAAAATGAAGTCAAAACATCTTCTAGGCATTGCAAATCCATGAAAACATAACAAAGTTAATTTGTCTTGCAAAACTATGTCCTTAAAAGAGAACATATGTACTATATAAACAAACAAAAAACTATATTAGTCTGTTCAAAATATGTTCTTCTACTCCTAGGATTACCAGCTATATATCAAAAACTCTGCAGAAGTTTTTCATATTTGCTAACTACACATTATTGCAGAGAAACTATGTCCAAATGCATTCTACTATTACCCCACCGATGATGATGGCTGTGAGGTGTTGGACTTGCGGGAAAGTACTTCTATCAACCTCTCCTGGGTTAGTTGTTCTGATCCTTGTGGCTTGACAACAAATGTGTGAAATACTTTTTCACTCCCTGCGACAATCAATGACTGAAGAATAGTAGCCTGTGCATCCTTGATTGCTTGGACAGTCCTTGCTATGGGGTGGGTGTTCAATGGGCTGCTTACCTTCACGATGACTTTGTCATGGACTGTTTCGATTTCAATTCGGGGAACTCGGTCATGCATTTCTGATTTTGGTTTAGCTTCCAAAGACGATGACTCTCCCGAAGAACTTCCAAGTTTTTCCTTCTCCAATTCCATGTCCTTCAACTTCTTCTCAAGTTCATTTATATAAGCAATAGCATCTCCCAAAAGGGAAGCCTTGTCCATCTTGGAGATATTCGGCACAACAGCTCGCAATGCATAGAATCGTTGGTTCAACTTCTCTCGTCGTTGTCTCTCTGCCTGTACATGATTGAGTGGCTCTTCTCTTCCATTGGCAGGCTTCCTGCCACGCTTCCGAGGCCTAATCTCCTCCAATAGGCTTGCATGCTCTTCCTTGCTCAAAGCCTCAACATCTGAATGCTCAGACTCGACACTAATAGGCTGAGGAGTTAACTTTGAGGTCGCTCCAGTTAAATCAATCTGCATTTTCGCTGGTTTTTGTTGCTGAAGTTTTTTAAGCTGAAACCCATCCTTTGCCCCATTAACAAGTTCATGTAATTTTTTCCCTGGGGCCTCGGGTCTGCAAATTTCCAGTGGGTTCCCTGGTTTTACACTGTTGAATTGTGTCCATGTTGCAGCATCAAAGCCATTCACAGTGTTGGCTAATGACAATCTGTTCCCACTACCAGACACATCCCGTTGCCTGTCTTCCAATTTTCCAACAGGAAGGTTTAACCCGAATTGTGAACTACCCGACTCTAAATCCTTCCCAAAAAACTTGGTAACCACTTCCTGTTGGTTACCAATTGCCAAGCTACATGTGGGGCCGTCTTCATTTATTTTGTCGGTTACCGCCGTCACAGCCGCAGATTTCTCGGCCATACCACGCAATGAAAACGACGAAAAGGAAGATCTTACTGTATCCAGTAACTCCGAGTTTTCCGGGATGGATCGCATTGATCCTAACTCCACCACTCCAACATCGGTGGGAATCAAAACAACCGTTTGCATACCAGCAGACTTGGCGAGGAATGACCTGATAAAAAAATCAATTGATGACTTAAATAGATCCGAAATCCAGATATGCTTCCCAGATTCAAAACACTTCCCCGGACCACCTTCTCCTTTAGGGAAAGAAAAGTACATTGATGCAAGGAAGAATATTTCAGTATCTGTAATCTTATCCAATACAAAAGCATAGTTCTCCTCATCAATTCCCCCAAACAAATTGTGCAACATCTGCAAAACCATTTTCCTCATCCTTTGTTGAGTCTCGTTCCCAAGTCTCGGTTTGAAAATAAAACTAATTGTCGATTCCTCACCTTCACGAGGCTCTCGACAACACCCATCTCCCCATCCCAGGACCAAGTCACCAGACTTGGAGTACGAAAGTTGCCAGAAAATAGCATAATTCCAACTAAAATTGGCCACATCAGAACGCTCCACAAGATCTGAAAGCTTATTCTGCAAATTCTCACCATTCCCCACAGATATCAATGAGCATTCCAGGAAAACTGACTTCGAAATCAAGAAATCGAATGCCTTAGTTCCCAAAACTGCAACCGCCATAGACTTATCGTCATCATTCAATACAATATTCCCCATTCCCACTCCTAGCTTCATCTCTGAACTCAGGGCACTGACAGAAAGAACTCCAACTTTAGCAACCCAGTTACCAGATAACACATCAAAAGTTCAATATCTATACATGCAAGAACTCTAAGAATCAATCCAACACAAACCCATCTTATCCCTAGTACAAAATATGATCTTTCTCGACAAATACCCAAATGGATAAAACTCTAGCATCAGATCTCAAAAGGCCATAAATCTACACAAAGCAAGAAAACCAACAAAATACATTTGTATATAAGTTGTAATTGCACTAAAAAATCCAAAATAAAATAAAATAAAGAACGAAGTTTGAACAAGAATACGCACCAGTACTCCATTTTCTGGTCCATGGATTTCTACAATATGAAAACTCACTAGAAAAACACTGAGTTTTCCATAAAACTACTCATATTCTGTTTACATATGAAGCATCTCTTGACTCTTCTCCTCTCCCTCTCTTCTGGAGTTCTATAGAATGAAAAGAAAAGAAATGAAAGAGGAGTTTTGAAGGAGCATGGAAATATACTATGGATGGTGAGTGGTTTATATGAGGAGGAAAGGAACCATGGTTAGGTTAAAAGGTTGCAAGCATTAATCTCGTGTTTGTTTTTATCTTATAAGCAAGAAGTGATCATGTGTTTGTTTTACAATTTCATGTATCTTTTTATCCACAATCGATAAAATTTACAGCTTATAATTATTTGAATTTTGATTTAAGCACTTTCAATATTATAAAATTTATTTTCATAACATAAATAGAATATAGCCCCTGTTTGGCCCCCATTACATTAAATTATATTACATTAAATTTTTCTCTATACAAACACACATTCATCAAATAAAATAATATTACACACAAATCTAAAACTATTCATTACTTTTCCACCACACATTTTCCCATTAATCACTATTCCAAAAATTTTCAACCCTAAAAAATGCCAAATAAT